TCACAGGGTTCCTGTTGTGGGAATAAGATGGAGGAGGAGATGTAAGCTGCCCTGAGCCCGTTGTAGGAAAAAGGCAGGATATAAATCGAAAAAAAAAATTGAAAAAATAAATAAATGCTCTTAACCACCACACCACACTGGCTCTCCAATTTGCCCATAACTTGGGGAGGGGGGGTGTCTGTCTGTGGTGGCTAATCTATTTTTTAAAAAATATATATTTTGGGTCCCCCAGTCTTTTGTACATGCATACTTTTGGAGATCCACAAATGCACAGCCTCACCAAAGCAAAATCCAGTCCTGGGCACTGACCCAGGGAGGCTGCAAACAGTTTTTTTTCTTCCTTTGTTTTAGCTTGACAGCTGTCAGATGGTGAGCTCATACTTCTCCTTGTTCCAGAGTATCTAGAATCTTGGGAACAACTACAAGGGTTCACCTTGAGGACAGTCGAGTCCCTCCCACAAAAACAGTCTCTTGCTGCTGTGGGGTATAAATTCTTCCACTCCCTTTTTATAGATACAGCTCTCTTGCACGTTAGGTTTGGCTTGACAGCTTGGCTTTTGGCAGCTGCCAAACCTAACCAAATGGGAGGGGGAAGGCTATTGAAACCTCTCTTGATCAATGTCTAAGGTTAGTACCTGCTGCACTTTGCCAGTAGGTATCTCCTTGGACATTGCCCAGGCAGGGCTGCTCTTTTTAGGCCCTGCTTTAAGTGCACAGGTCTCTAGCCATGAAGGACCAAAAAAGTGTGTATTTTTTTTACACATTAGGTGGTCCAGAACAATAATAAAAGGTTGACAACTACAGACATTTCTTTCAAGGTGCATCTTAGACACTTTGAGGGGGTTGTCAAAACAAGGATTATGAAAAGCCAGCTATTAAAATGGACTTTGTGATCTCCTTCAAGGTGGGGGGAGCCATGGGAAGATGAGAACAGCTTGCAGTCACAGTGGGGAAGGGGAGACAAGTTCGTCCTACTGCACTGTTTCCTGGGAAACCTCTGGGAGGACAGGTGGGTGGCACCATGTGTTCTCTACACAGCAACCAGCCCACTGTGCTTATCGCCAGGTTGGGTTGCCATGTCTTACAAACTCACCCAGTACTTAACATGTTTCAACAGATCAGACTTTGGGACCTTTGTTTAATGAATGATATATTCAGAATGATCGCACACACTCTGCAGCTTTAGAATAGTTTGCTCCTTCTCATAAGAAGATATCCTGTATGTATCAAACTATAAATAATAGATGATCTGAGTGACATTTTAGGGAAGGAATTGTTAAGACTAGGATTTGCCAAACATTAGCATGCTTTCTGACTAAGAAGGAAGCATTGACCTAGATTTTGCTTTCCCGATGTTTTCTATATTCAGTGTAGCAGTATCATTCCACCTTCGTTTTTCCCATTTTTTTTTTTGCCACTAGGAAGTTTGTTGAGCTTTTTTATATGCAACCCAGTGCAGTATCATGCCCAGAAAAGTACACAAATGGTGAAGTGACTTGGATTTAGTGACTCCCAGCCGTGCATTAGATGACTAGGTGGACAATTTATACTCCCCCATATGTTTTGGCCTATTTCCTTCAGTGTTAGCCCTGCTGGCCTGGCTTTGGTTGTGGACTCAAGTTTTGTTGTACTTCTGCAAAGCTCCGATTTTCCCTGAGCAAGTCAATACTCCACCTATTGTTTTCTGTGGCCTCATTTTGGCTACAATCTTATCTGCACTCACCAGCTGAGTTTACTATTAGGAGGAGTGATCTACTTGGTGAAGCGATTAATGCAATTACAACTGACATTTGGCTTACTTGGAACAGCCTACGATTTTTCCCACACTTTTCTTAGCTTTGCTCTGATGTGAAATCTGGTAGGGAGCTTAGGAAGCTGCAAATAGCCTACTGGATAGGCCAGACCTTCATGGAGTGAGCCGAGAACATAGAGATAACCCTCTTTCTAAACTATCACCACTGTACAATAATGAGCCTATGGCAGGGTGAGGAAATTTGGCCCCCACGTTTTTGCTTACAGTCCCCCAAATTCCTCAACATTAGTTCTGTGACCCAGGGCTAAGTCTGTTGGGAGTTGTAGGCCAAATAATCTGGAGGACTACAAATTGCCCACCCCTGACCTAGCCTGTGGTTATGTAATGTCCCTTGCCAATCAGCTACTTGTAGCTCCAGTCAGTTATACCTCTTGGGTACCCTCAGGATGAAGACAAATAGTCTAATTATAATGTTCTCCTGGACTGCTTTCAATGCTTGCTTAGCTTCTTGCTAATCAAGATCCCGCCCCTTCCTTTTTGATGTGGCTAGCTATAGAAAGCTTCCTGTTTTAACTCCCTCTCAAGGGTTTTTGTTTGCTGGTTTCTCCCTTCCTGCTTCAACTCTGATTTCCACATATGTTCCCACCACAAGGAAACCAAAGCTGTTGTCTTTGGGAGAAGTCTCGAGTACATGCTTGGTCAACAAATTGAACAGTCCAGTTCATATTGCTACTTGGGCATCCATTTCCTTGGATGCAGTAGTGGAGAGTCTCAGATTCAGGCCATTAGATTGCAGACAGAGCAAACAAACAGGACCTTGAAGTTTGAGCGGGGGTGGGGGAACTGGTCTCAATTAACTCAAGAGTAGGAAAGTCTGACCACTGCCCCAAATGCTGTGCCAAGGTAAAATGTAGGGAAAATATAACATTTCACACTTGCAAAGCTTTTAAAATAGGTGCTCTCACAAGTGCCCAGTGTGGTCTGAAACTGGGATTATGCCTATTAAGTTGTGTCTTCCTGTATTTTAACTCCTGGTTTAAGATCACCAAAATGGATGAGAAGCTGAGCAGTTGCCAAACAATTTCAAGATTAAAGTTCAGTTACCACTGTGAGACAAATCACAAAAATGGAACACTGATAGGCCTTTGCATTAATTTGAATATGTTTTGAGCTCCCTTTTTGGCATGAAAGCACGTTTTAACATGGAGGAATCCAGTGTGGCTTATTTCTGTGTAGTCATGTATAAGACTGCACTGTAAATCACTGTTTATTACAGTAAGATTTGTCAGCATTCAAAGGTAGATTTAGCTCTTGGGTACCACATGGTCAGATTTCAGCCTATTTATATGAGCTCTTTAACAGATAGCATGAGGTTTCTTGCCAAATGTATTACATCTACATTTTTTGTCTGTTTGGAATGGTAAATTTCAGGAATAGAGCCTATAAGCATTTCTTGAACGAAGGATATATAATTTGTCCCATTATCTGTTGTGGCACTCCCTTTTTAAGAGCATGAGATTTAACTACTTAGCCACTAGCTCCCAGCATGTGACATTAAATATTAGCCATTGGTCAATTCAACAGAAAGTTGCATGTTTACTCAATTAACTTTGATTTTAAAAAAAGGCACTACGTATTCAAGCAGAATCCTTTTAAACAATTGTCATGGATTCTTTTAAAAACAAATAGGCAGTTTTAGTTAGTAGCAACACCACTCTCAAAACTAGTCAGTTCAAATTATAAATTTTCAAATGTATATTCCTGGCTTTGATAAACTCTGCCATCTTTGTCCATGCCCAGAGGTTGGTTGCTGTGTCTCTTTAACTTCCAAAGAAAAAAACCCTTTTGCAATGAACATGTATGCAGAATGAAATTCCTTTAACACTTT